TTTTCTTTTTAAACAGTAGGGGCATGTTGCACAACTGACCTGAGGGTGCTGGGAAGAACAAAGCACCCGCAAGCAAACCGAGCCAATCAAGCTAAGCACATCACCCAAATTTTTTTAAAGCAATTCAGAGCTAGAAACAAAAGCCTGCCTAAACACAAAGCTCGTCAGAGCGCAAAGGGAAAAGGAATCAAACAGGATACGTCATCCCTGGGTCTAATCCAATTTCTTGCTCAGAAAAACTCCTCTTAACGAACGTTAAGTTTACGGGGCTTAACTTCCCGGGCTGCAATCGAGCAGCCTCTCTTACGGCCACGGTACTGACCTGGAAATCGCTGTAGGGACCTGTGCCTACCTACAGAACACAGACAACCCCCTTGTCACCCAGAGTTGCCTAGCAACACACCCAAATCAGCCTAATAAGAACCCAGGGTTATTTCCCCAGTACGTCATTTTCATACGAGCAGTGTGTTTCTGGGATGTCGGTGAGCAATCCCGCAAGGGCACTTCCCCTTAAGAAAGAGATTAACATTTACAGCCACCTCGTGTGTGTGATCTGGTAGGAGGAGGACAAAACCCCAGAGCACGGGATCCCCAGCAGCTCAGGAATCAGAAAGGGGGTTTTGTGTTATCGTAGATCTTCTCTGACCAAACAAACAGGTAACCAGACGCATAAATACTTCTGTTTCACAACTTGATCATTCAAATTCAAACCTGAGAAATTAAGCTGTTAAAAAGAGAAGCATTCTCACAAACCAGAGCAAAAATCAACAGTCTTCAAGCACTTGTAACCTAATCGAGGGACAGCCTGTGTAACACATGCCAAAGGGGAAAAATCCTATGTAGCCTAACTATTGCAGCTGCTCGTGGCTTCAGATTAGATCAGTGCAAAGAGAAATGATTACTGCAGCTACTGCTCTTACAGTTACTGCTTAATTAGGACCTAGGATTGAGGGGAAAAAGAAATAACAGTTAAAAAATTTTATCATTTGAAAAGCAGGCACCGAGCTCAGAGCACTACTGTGCTTTCAAATTTATGTGAGAAAGAGGAGATCCTGGAGTATCAACACACTGCGGCTGTAAAACTTCAGCGTTTTTAAAGCCTCGTATTTTCAGTTAGAATTCACCTATAATAATTTGCAACGAGATAAAAGAAGGCATAAAAAAAGCTTATCTGCTTTAAACGCACACAGGTGAAGAACAAAGCGACTGTAGCTTTTGAGAACACACTGGCTGTGCTTGCCTGTGCTCTGAACACAACCTGCTGCTCCCTCCATCTGCTGGCACGCGCACCAGCTGATCCCTCACTGCTCTGCACAGCTCGCGCTCCTGCTGCCCCTGCAGCTTGTCCACCAGCTTTTGGGGAAGCGGTTACCCCTCCAGCGTGTGCCACAGGCGACTGCGCGGGCTGGCCGAGGGCAGGACCTCCTCTGGTCGCTGCACAGCCCAAACCCAGTCAATCCTCACAGCACCAGCTACAGGCAAAGCCACGAGTAGGTGCTGTGCTACGCAGAACTGTTCTCCCTGATGTACCTTTCACAGGCTGCCCCTCAAAAAGGTTATAAATGCCTGAAGTAAAGTAACTAGATCAAATCAAAGCAGGAAAAAGTAGTAACCACAGAACTGGGTTGGGCTGATGACCTTTATTTTAATTTTCAAAGGTTGTTTAAAGACATCTTAAACATCTAATACTTTCAGGCAATCATACTTAACTAATGTTTACCCTTTATTTACGCAGGAAGATGGTTCCAAGATCAAACCAAAAGCTCAGTATCCTCCCAGACGGTCCCGAGGCAGCTCCTGGCAATTCAGCTGTCCACATCAGCTATTCAGTAGAAACACTGGACAGCATAATGGCTTTCAGATTTCATTTGACCACTAGCCAGAAGAATGCATGTTTGCCCATTGGACACAGCTCCAACGTTCTCCCACGCAGGGAAGGGCTGCTTGCTTCTTCTGTGGTATAGTGATAACAGGCATGTAAAGCTTTCCCAGTGAAATTTCTAACATGGGAGCTGAAGAAGGCTGGATGCAGAAACCCCTCTTTCCTAAATGCTGGCAGCGTGCTAGTGCTCATGCTACCTGAAGCCTTCCCAGTGAGTACTGCTGTGTACGCTGCTTCTCAACGCTATCCACTAAAAATAAACAAAAAAATAGGAGCACTTTTTCTCCTTTAAGTTCAAGCCTTACTTCCCATTATCAGTTCCACCCAGGATAGGAAATAATTATTTGGTGTTGGAGGATTATTTGTTACATTCTGGAAACTGCGTGAGAATTCTCTATCACCCGAGCCCAGTGCCAAGAAGGGCACAAAGCTGGAAAAGGCCCATTACTGTCTGCTGCCCCCCATTATTATACAGTATACTCACAAAATCTGTTCTGATTATTTGTAGCCCACCAGCCACTTTTACTTGAATTATTCATCACAGAGCAAGGACCGTGCTATCACTACGCAACCACAACACACAATGCTCAGTGTCTTTTCAGAGAGCTCTTCTCAAAGCAGAGGGCTTAACCTGTCCAACATTCAGAGCAACCCTGTTCTTTCATAAAAGTCCACTCTGAAAACACAACAAAAAGTTGCAAGGTCCAATTTTTCTCCAACCAATGAAATTATTTGACAAAACGTTTCTAAAAACAACACTCTGAAAATAAACGTTCAACCTCTAATAGCAGCTACCATTGCGCGTAGCCTTTTATTGTTTCTCTCTGGTGGGTTTTTTCTCCTGATCCATAGACATTTTCTCCTGAGCAAACATTTTAAAGCCTAACAGAGATCACCAATGTGAAATGGTTTCCTTTTGAATCTCACCATCGGCCCTGAACCACCCCATCCACTGGTGGTTTCAAACGAAGCCCTCGCTCCCCGAGCCCGTGAGACCTCCCGCCCCCACGCCCCGCAGAGCTCAACCGCCCACCGAAGGCATCGCCTCCCCCCACGGGCTGCCGGCGGCCACCGATGGGCTCTGGTGACCAGCACCAGCCGTGCTGCTGGGACCGCTCGCCATGCGTATGACACGACCCTTCTGTGCACTGCACTACGCTCCACCAGTATCCCTGGACCGACGACACTGCGGTGCCTCCCAGGCGGAACACGCCTGACACGGCGGCAGCCCTGCTCCTCGCACTGGTACAGCTTGTGTTAATGCCTGGATGCAGCTGTACTCCGACACCAAAGGAGCTGCAGCCTCGATGTTCCCCCTGGGGAACGCCACAAAATGCACCCACAGAGCGTTCCTCTACATGGGAACCCTACAACACACACAGAGCAAAGGAAAGGACCTACAATTCAAGCCCGGACTTGAGCTTCCACTTCTCAAGCCCACAAAAACTTTCTAATTTCTAGGTGTAGTAAGCATACCTCGACAGTCCTTCCAGGCATTTGTATATCGGCTTATTGCATCAAGCAACTCCAGAGAGTCACAAGCCAAGCCTCCAGGCCACACATTGCCACGCTGACTGGAGACACGTGAATAAGAAAGGAAGCGCATCAAGACTGAAGAGGCGAGGAAAGCCCCAAACTCTTTCGTGTGGGTTGCATAGCACGCAAAATCTGTTTAGAAAATCGAGCAGTCTTCTCTGTGCAATGCCAAGCTGTTTGTGAGCCACGGAAAGCAGCCCTGTAGGAAAGAGGGAGTCTGGTTTCACACATCAAAGGAGGGCAAAATACCTAAAAGTATTTGTTTCATGTAAATAATAATAGCATTGAAAAGTTTTGACTTTCAGAGATTTTTCTGCTCCTTTTGTAGTGTTAGAAATAGCTTAAGTACCTTTGGGGGGAAAAAATTAGTAACCTGCAAGCAATTTAAGAACTAAGGTGTCATTGGGAATTCAGTGAGAACAGTATCAGTATGAAGCATACATAAATCTCAGTAGATTGGGGCAGGTTTTTTAAGTCATAATGCAAACCTAGAACCGTGAGAAAACTAAAACAATTTGTTATTGTCTCTGCTACAGGTCAAAGCTTTAGTTAAAAATGGAATTACTGAGAATGTAGGGGGGCAGTGTTATTTTATAGTCAGAGATTCACAAATTACTTGCTTAATTATTTTGCATTCCACTTTGTGCTGGATACAAAGAAGATATTTAGAAGAAAACCAAAAAATGAGAAGGAATGAGATACACATCCAGCTCAGAGGTGTTAAAAATAACACAAAGTCCTATAAGAAATCCAAAAGCAATTCAAATGTTAGTTCTTATATTTTCATTAAAAAACTTCCAACAAAATGCCTATGCAGTCAGCAAATAGAAACTTGGTTCCACGAAGACTGTAGACAATGATAGCAGTTTAGAATGCAAATACATCTGCAAGTTTCTCTCTCTCCAGTTTGCTGATAGCTGCCAGTCAATTTTCACCTGGGAAAAAAAAAAAAAAAAAAAAGGATTTCAGAAATCCCTCCCATTTTTCTCACTATTAAAGCTTCATTTCAAAAGGCATGACAATTTCAGCTCAACAGTTTGACATTTTAATGATTTTTTTTTTTTTTTTTTTTAAGCGGACAAGAATCATTAGTGCCTGGTACCAAGCAAGAAAGCTCCACATGAAAGCAAGCCAATTCTTACTGAAGCCCTGTGTATGTGAAAACACGATTGTGTTGTATACCATC